TTTCCTGTGGTTTTACCTGTGGCTGGATCTATACGTCATTTGACAAGAGGGCAGTCGGCAGTCTTGTACATTTGCGCGCCGCCCGGCCAAGCTCTACGATGTTTCGTGTTCCAACTGTCTGAGCACCTGGGAGGTCTCTCATATCTACCTCCCACAGATCTAATCCCACATATCACTCCACTTGGAGTACGGTCGTGTTTTTGTTTTTGTATTTTTCCTTGTGCAATTGGAACCGGTTTTGGAATATCCCAACATAGGTCCAGCCTGATCCGATGCAAGACTTCCGAGGATCACCATGAAGTTCCAAGATCCCATCGAATGGCAGGCGTGGGAAAATCACACATGGTCACATTGTGGTTTTGGACAAACATCCTGTCAGTGCACCGGCTAAAGGTTCAACAGATTGGTGGCTTCCCGGTTTTAGATCAAGGACATGTGGCGAAAAGCAGAGAAGTGCTCAACCTATATGCGCTGTAGATGACCAGGTTGGTAGACAAAACAGGACACACGATCTGTATTTTGCACTGCTGCTTTGGGTGCATCCTACTTGGTGACGCAGCTCCCTTCTAACCAACTTGTTCACTCCCCCTGCGGACCAGGTGGCGGTTTGGGTCGGTTTCTTGTTGAAATCCGACCACCTGGCAAAGCTGTTGGTTTGTGGTCTCGACGGAGCTAACAGTGTTCTGGTATGTGATCCTTAGGCTACAAATCTCCTACTTTGCATGCTACTAGAAACAAGAAGCTACTAGGGTGGAGGCCATTACTACAAGTAACAAGAAGCGGATTCTTTTCCAATCTTGAGACAGGTGACTCGACAGGACTCCCCATTGCCCCAGAAAATTGGAGAACAACCTCCATTCTAGACTTGACCTATAGCCCCTAGTAGAGAAACAGAGTATCCAATGCTTTTGGTTTCAACTGACTCTTTTCCTTTTGCTACCGAACCTGGTGTGTTTATGGCAACCGAAGCAACATCGCTGATTTGTTACGCTGTGGGGAAATCACTGATCCCAGGCCTTCTCGGAGGCAAGGACTTCGACGCGCCCGGAACGTGGCTTTTTGCGGAAATAGCGGGGAAATGATCAGGAGGCTGGTTTGCATGACCAGGATGTGGTCAACGGAGTTCTGTCATGTTTGCCTTTAAGCCTTCTTGATTTCCTCGTGGAACTGATCTGGTGTAGCAGTAGCAGTTTCCTTTTGGGAGTTTGTTCTGCAAAACCTCTTCAAAACCGCAAAACCTCTTCGTTGAACCTTTGAAAGACCGATCAGGTTGAACCAGACCGATCAGGTTTCCGACCATTTTGTTCTTCTTTTCAGGCTGAGGGGCTGGACACCTTCGGCCTTGTGGCCAAGGAGACTGAGGCCAAGCGGTGAAGAAGGGAGAGCGGGTGGTAAGGGCCTCGTGTTTCACCATACAGGTGCAATTGACGGACTAAAGTGGCTTCATCCTCCCAATCCAGGTTGGAGAACACAGTCCCCCAATGCAGTTCTGTTGGTTTTTGGGATGGGCTTATGAATATGATACAGAGTCCTATTGAGATGGGTTCCGAATTGGACAGAGATCCACCGTGCAATTCTCATTTTCACTTTGTCCTCTCTGCGGACTGTTCGATCAAAAGAGGGGTGGGAAGCATGGCCTTGTTGTGAGCTCTGAGCTTTCTGCAAGACAAGTTCTCCTTCAACCCCGGAGTTGGGAGGCGAGACTAGGTCCTCAGAGAGCCCTCTGAGTTGAGAATACCAAATCTCTGACTTGGGAGTTTCCCTGATGTCACAGGCCTTCATCCTTTTCACGAATCCTTTAGACCTATAGCGGTTGGGAGACCACTGCCGTTTGTGCAATATCCAGTATCCATCATTCCGTGTTCTTTTTGGTTAATTTTCCTTCCGGCATTATATACATTATTGCAGTACACCATTTACCATTCTATCATCATTACCCTCGTCCTCCTCTTCAAGACGGCTTTATCAGGTACATGCGTACAATGGTGTGAAGACACTTTTTGGCATTTGGGGGGGGGTCGTAGAATGATTGTTGCTCTGCCACCTAGACTTGTCTGAGAGTCCATACGCAGAGCTGGCGGTTGAGACAGACAAACACCATGGTGTTTGACATATTAAGAACAAAACACAGGTAGCAAAGCCTGCCTGCTTGGCACATGCTTTCCACCGGCTCAGCTCCACACGGTGCTTTCCACCTTGCGCTGGTGGCTGCCACATGTGGTGGTGCGGATCCTGAGGACCGATCCCGGAGTTCGTCCCCGCCCAAGGTCAGCATTGTCATTCCGAGTCCTTTGAGAATGTGAGAAAAAGTCGGATAGGAATTATCCATACCCAGGAACTGTCGGTCGCAGCTTTTGATAGAGGAGTGAAGCCGTCCTGAGAGGAGCGAAACCAGGTTGTGCTTCAGCTTCGGAGCTTCGGGAGTCGAGCCGTGGGTCGTTGTGAAAGAACAAGGAGCAAAGGTGGTGCCCACGCCCCGCTGGCGTACGGACTGTCCCTGCGACCATCCTCCAGAACATGGATTTGGTTCCCGAAAAGGCGGTTTGACCCAGAGGAACCACAGATCTATCGCAGAGCCAGGGGTGATGGATGTGAACCATGGACCATGGACCATGGACTCCCATCGAATCCGGTCAAGCCGTATTTCACCTCCTGACCCCACCTGTCAAACATGGGGTGGATGTCTGGGACTTGTTTGGTTTTTAGCCGGAACATACTCAAGAACTTGAGCACTGGAATGAACATTTTGGATGGGACTGAGGTGACCGGCACCCTGCCGCAGCAGCTTGACCCTGTTGGGAAACCCAGATACGCCGCAACGCGACGGTGTTTGCAGGAAGAAATGCATAGCCGCAACGAATGGAGGATCGCCTACTTTTCACAAAAAGACAGGAACATAGGAAAGCAAAGGCCCGATTGATAGGGACCCTTTATAAAACGGGGACCTTGTCAATGCGGCCTTTGCCTTTGTTTTCCTTTCTTACTTTGTTTTTCCATTCTTACTTTGTTTTTCCATTCTTTTTTTCAGTGTTTTTTTGATAGTAGGAATTTCCTTCATCAACAGTAGGGAACCCATCTATTTTGAGCGACCTTGGGAACAATTGTTTGGACGGTCTGTCTGCAGCTACGATCCTTTTTTGCAGTAAGTGACTGGGAGAACCATGCCTTTTGCTGGAACCTTCAGGTATAGAGATCGGTTCGCGTCTTGTGGTCGCTCATAGTCGGGGCTGCTTGTTGGAGTATTGGACCGGCGAACTGTGTTGGTTAGGCATACTTTACAACGGATGATCCATTTAGTGCTCAAAGAATTCACCAGTGGGGTTCTTCTGGAGCCCGAGAACTCTTCTCTCACAAGCGGTTGATGGACTCTCAGTGGTTTGCTCGGATTCCCACTTCGTGCTGAGGATCCAGTCATCTTGAATCTGGAAGGCATCTCCCTCACTGCTGGCGTCCCAGCCGTTGTGCCGTTGTGCCAAACATGAAGGTGGATTGAAGCCGAGAGTGGATTGAAGTGCCAAAAGGGATAAGTAGGATAGGCCCTCCAGGAGGGTCCCTCCTTGCCCTTGGAAGCCTTAGGTGTCCAAGTTTGCACTCCTGTTTTTGCTGACTCCACGTCTTCGCTTTGGACCCAAGTGCGCATGCCCAAACTCAGAGTCCCCATGTGGGTCCTCTGTCTTCCCTGTGCCAGAGTGCAGGTCTGTGCGGTCAACACTTCCGTTTCATTGTACGATGACCCACGAGGCACGGGACCTTGAGCTCTTGGGCGACGAGCAGTGCTTGAACGACTCGGCCGGAGCCCGGAACGTTCGCTCGTGGGTTGCGGTTGGTGTCCGCGTTCGCTCTAGCGTGTCGGCGTCGTCTCTTCAAGAGGGCCCTGCGCTCGCGTGCGATCTCTCTCTTTCTATCTCTCTCTCTCTCTCTCGGTCCCACAAAGCAGTAGTCAAACTCCAAGGGTTTCGGATGGTTGCTCTCACCAAAAGGTGTTGGAGGTGGATTCGGCCCAGTAGGGGGAGATTCCTTTGAGATGACCATTAAACCTAATTTCAATGTCGACCTGTGTGGGCCCTTGGGTTGTTCTTGAATCCTGGTGGCTACCTGGCAGGGTGCCCTTGATGTCATTCCTCTTTGGGCAGACACACCTATTGTCCCCTCCGAGTCCCCTCCCAAATCCTCACGCTGTGTTTGGAAGATGTTTGTAAGCCGCCGCGTTGCGTTCTTAACATCCCTTTGAAGGACTTACACCCATCCCACCAGCAGTGGCAGAGGTCCTGGACTTCTTCTTGAAGCTGGCGGTGGAGGTGGTGGCACCGGAGCACCTGAAAGGCCGGCGTCGGATGGTTGGTGATCTCGCCGGAGGGGCACTGGATGTTTGGGAAAGCGGACGGCAGATGCAGTTGGGCAATAAGGAAGACCTTGTGATGTGCCAGTGAAGGAAGTACAAGGAGGTTGGAGAGGGAGAGACTCACAGGGACACCTCCTTTTTTCATGCTGACCGTCGGAGTTTCAGGTGTTCAGAAACACCACCGACATTTCATGCTAGGCAACATAGTTGGAATTATGACGAATGTCGCTGTGAACTCCCCTTTGGATCATTGTAGGGGGCAGTTGCACGAGGTATGAGTTGAATTTGGACGGCAATCTTTCTGGACACTGTGCCCTGTGAGCTCTCATGCAACTTACATGTTTGAGGAAGATAAAAGTGGACATGATCCGTCCCACAAGTCGGAAGGTTTCTCAGACTACAGGTGCCCATTTCACCTTGCGGGTTTGTATGTGTCGATCTTCGCACTCTGGACGCCGTAGCTATGTTTGGCTGTGCAGTTGTAGCTCTCCAGCTGAAGGAACCTGCTGGGATTTGTCAAACGGCAACATGCCAAGCTGACTTGAGTGTCCACAAGAGTATCCATCCATGACGGAAACGGTACCAGGAGTGTCCAACACTTGACTTGCGTCCAAAAGCCACCCAGTCTTCCAGATCCAAAACCGAGTCTTTCGGATCGATGGCGACCGACACGCTTAGCTTGAATGTGAGCCTCCCAAGTGGTCTTTGCAAAGCGGTGGAAGTGCCAAAGAGCTCCAAGACTCATGGCAACAAACTCGTGGGCTTTTAGTAGCAGAGTTCCACGTTGGACCACGTGACTGATATGTGACTGATGTGTGACCAAGAACGAATCAATTGATGCAGACATCTACATGCTATGCTATATAGAGACATACTTGGATGTCTTGGCAGTGTATTTTGTGTTTCTAGGTAAGTAACAAGTTTAGCAATAAGTGTGGCATAACTAGTCACTGGTAGTTTCACCCCTCCCCCTACCCAGTTCCGCACGTTTAAGCGAAAGCAGGTTACAACAACATCGCCCACACTGAGGGTTCTGGACCTGAAGCTGGCGGTTCAGAAGTCCATTGGTCAGCACTTTCTGCGACTGATCAGTGCTGACGGTCGACTTTTGAAATTGACCGAAACTTTGGAAGAGCTTGGAATCCAAGACGGAGTCACTAGGCCGGATCAGGGTGTGGGTGGTGGGAGGGCTATGCTATGCTGCATTGGGAGCCAGGGAAGTTGAGGATTGTTTTGACATAGAGAGCGTGTGCAAAACATGGAGCATCCTTGGTGTGACACATTTGTCCCAGTCATGAGTCATGACCATGTGCTTTTTGGCAACTGGCTCTAACCAAGTAGTATAGCAATGTGTGCAGCGGAACAGTGGAACGTTCCTTGACCCAACCAGACCAGCAACTGGTATTCTTTTCTACTGAAAGTTTCTATGGGGGACCCCTACTTCTCCGTGTCGGTTTCCGATGAGTGTTGGTCCTCCCATCGCCTTCTTCCTTTTTGAGGGCCCTCCAAAAGCCTCATGTGTCAGCTTCGTCCCGTCTCCACTACGAACGTCCTTTCCACTTCCAAAACCTTCAACCTTTGCCCACACGAACTCCACCGAACTCCGTTTCAACGCGGCGCCTCCTCCGCCCGCCGAACCCCTTCGGCCCCTTTGGCACCGAGGAGCATCTGACTGCCCTGGTGCAACCCGTGGAAGTGGCCGCCACCGACCGGGCCTTCGCCCTCTGGTGCCGCGGCTCTGGCGTGGTGGCATGGGGTGATCGGTGGTGTGGGGGCCACAGACACAGCACAATCCGGAGAAGGCTTGGAGAGGTGTGGCGAAAGACCAAAGGGGTTGGGGCGGAGGCCATTTCTCTGTAAAGCCACTTGATTCGCGCAGAGAAGAACAAACTGCGCAACGACTCCTTTGCCATTTAGTGTTTCGGATCGTTTTTAGGTGTTGGGATTTCTTTTTTCCCAGGTGCAAGAGGTGCAAGCGACTTGCCGTGCTTTTGCAGCCATTTGTGCTGATGGCACGGTGGTCACATGGGGCGATGAGGGTGCGGGTGGCGACTGCTCGGCGGTTGGCCGTGAACTGCGAGCTGTGCGGAGTGTTGCCGCCACGAAAGGGGCTTTTGCTGCCCTGCTGGCTGATGGAACCATTGTGACTTGGGGCGATCCGCACTTCGGGGGTGACCGAACGGAAGTTGATCAGCTCCAACATGTGCAGAAGATCTATGCCAATGACGCCGCATTCGCAGCGCTTCGTGGCGATGGAACAGTTGTTACCTGGGGCAGTTGGCCACACGGTGGTTCTAACGATCACGTGCAGGATCGTTTGCATAATGTGCAGGAGATTTGTGCTGCAGAGTCAGCATTTGCTGCTTTGAGGGGTGATGGAGAAGTTGTTTCATGGGGCACTTCAGTTCTTGGTGGGGACAGCAGTGTGGTCCAGGACCGTCTCAAGAACGTGAAGAGGATTTATTCCGCCAGGACTGCCTTCGCGGCACTTCTTCTTGATGGAAGTGTTGTTACCTGGGGTTCTCGGTCAAGTGGTGGTGATAGCAGTGATGTCCAGGAGAGTCTTGAACAGGTGCAAGAGATTTTTTCCACCTCCATGGCCTTCGCAGCAATTTGTCAAGACAAAAGCGTGGTGACCTGGGGTGATCCAAATGCTGGTGGCGACAGCAGTAGTGTGAAGAAAAGGTTGAAGAACGTGGAAACCATCTTTGCCACCAAGCATGCCTTCACTGCACTTTTGGGAAATGGCACCATTGTCACGTGGGGCGATCAACTCTGCGGTGGTGACAGTCATGACGTGCGAAAGCAGCTCCACGATGTGGTGCAGATCGCGGCCAACGACAGCGCCTTCAGTGCCCTGCGGAGTGATGGACGAGTGGTCGCATGGGGCGCTCCCAACGGCGGTGGTGACACCGGTGAGGTGCAAGACCAGCTGAGCTCGGGTGTGCAGAAGCTTCATTCTTCTGCAGCTGCATTCGCAGCCATCCTTCGGAATGGACGTGTTGTGGCATGGGGCAATCCGGAGGCGGGTGGCGACAGCAGTGGGCTTGAGGAATTAGAATATTTGTGATACTTTGAGACGATGATCACTGAGCTCGCAGGTGAAATGCGTGGTTGAACAGTTGTGAAGTGAATGTGTCTCTAGTTTCTACTGAGGTGTTTGATTTTTCTACCGTTTGATTTTTCTCCCATCCCAGTTTCTTAAGTTTCCCTAAACATCTTGAAACCAAGTCATTAATGCAAGCGTCAGCTATCCTGCATCCAGTTACTAGAAGCTTAAGTAGCTAGGAGCTTACTCCTTAATTAAGTAGGTGCCAAACTTAATTAAGTAAGAGCGGGCCAAGAAAAGAACACACGAACATACAAAGGGTTTTTGCTTCCTCCGTTCTCCACTGTGGTGGATTTGTGCAAACAGTCTTGGTAGATCCCATGAAAAGACGACCGGTGAAGCAGATCGACTCCACCAGCTGAGCACCTCACCGACGAGTGAGTCGTGGCAGGTGATCTTTACGTCGCCAGCACCTTTTTCTTTCAGAAGCTCACGGCGGGTGGCGTGGAGCGGGTCCAGGGCACCGGTGGAGCTGTGCGTTCGTGGTTTTCCTTGTCGTTCGCGGTGGAGTGTACTGAGTAGGACCACTCATGTGAGTGCGGAAGTTGATGTGGGAGCTGATGGATGCAGGAAGGCTGAGTGGATGATTGTTTGAGGCTAAGCTCTGTGTGACTTGCCCAGCTACTGTAGGCCTTGGCAAGGTCAACTTGAAGACACATGGTGACCCAAGTGACCCTCAACGGTTGAGGATGTGATACCTCAAGTATCAATGATAGTTAATGAGCATTCTCACCGCAACCGAGCAACCTGGCCCGTGTCGGGGTGGCTAGAGACAATGACATCTACAGTAATCCGACCTTAACCAACTTGCAGACAGATTTGGACATGCCTAGTGAACACCCTGTGGGCATATTTGTGGGCTCATTATACAGTCTTGAGACACGCACAAGTCTAGAAACTATACATTTAGAAGCCAGGTCATTGACGAGAAAACCGCCTTACAAAGGGTCCTTTTATCTCCGGATACCCAGCAAACATAGGGCAACTGCAACCGTAGACTCATGCATTTCACGTTATCGCAGAGGGGTGCACATGCTCTTTCACCTTTTCTTTTGTTGCGATGCTTCGCACAAGCTGCTCAGCAACTCTTTTGCTCCCCTAAATGCAGCTCCAAACCGTGGCACGTGGCTGAGAAAGGAGAACGGAGAAGCCGGCTGGCAGAACGTCCGGAGGTGGACACGGCCGGGCCGCCTGGGACCGCCAGGAAGAACACGCTCGAGGTGGTTTCCAAATCGATTCAAGATGAACATGCTTTTTGGATCCCTTTGAAAGAGTGTCTTTGAACGATCTTGTAAGTATGTATCTTACAAGCGAACGCCAGCTCTTGGACTTGGATATGGCCCTTTTTGATTTGTTGGCGACCCGTGTGGACACTAGTGGGCAAACATGCGGAAGTCGGCGGCATGACGGCACGGGTGTTTCGGGGTTTAAGCTGTGTAGAACTTGAGTCAGTCGGTCTTGTAGCGTGATGTGGACGTTGAAGGTGCCGAGGCTGCAGGATTTGTGAGGTTGTTCTCAAGCAGACCACGGAGCTTAACACAACCGGCTGGACCTTTTCGAAAAGGTCTTGTGGCCCCTTTGACCCATGGACTTTCTTGGAAGCTCACCCTATAGTGTAGCAGGTCCAATGGGTTTGGCAACTTCTTTGGGCGACGCTGTCAGACGGTCGCTGGGCCTCTGCATGGCCTAGGTCTCTACCACATGGCCTTTTGGGGCAAAGGCAGCGGGCCATCACTGAGGAGGGAAGACCCGACCCTCCTCAACATGGAAGCGGATGGCATGGCGTCATGGCCTTGCGTCGGAAGGACTTTGTTCAACTATGTTCGTCCAAACAGGGAGGTTTCCACTTCCATGTTAGTGAGTCGGAGTTTACCACTGAATCTTACCATCTATTCCGTATGAAGCAGGCAGTTCATGGCATTTCTTCTTCACTCTTGTGACGGGATGTGTATACACTATCAATATATGTGTATATATAGGCATACATATGTGAGTATGATTATGATTGATCATATATCGTAGTAGAAGTGGACCTGAAACAGGTTTGCGAACAAGGAACTAGCAGCCTAGCACAAATAAGGTATCCTGCATCTCCCTCTTCGAGCCTGCAAACGCCTGCAGGTTCGTGATCTTACCCATCAACGAGCAGAACATTCACTGGTGGCGCGGGGACACAGCGACCGAAGAGCCTGGTGATGCTCTATCTGCTTCGAACGCCTCGTTGGGTCCCGATCTGAACGTCAGGTGGTGTTACCCATTCTGCAACGAAATGGCAAAGCACGTGGCCGTGGGGCATCTTTTCTTTGCACTGAGCTACAGTACGTACTAGTAACAAGTGCCACGCTAGTAGTAACAAGTGCCTTACTAGTAGTAACAAAAAGCTATTATATTTTAATTTAAGATAGCTTTTTGTTAGTACTAGTAAGGCACTTGGGTTCATAGCCCCCATCCAAGCATTCGGACATAGCTGATGTGGCCAGTCAGCCTCACCAGGGTGATTGCACACATCTCTTTGTACGGACCGCAATGAGAACACTTTGAATAACTGAGAGCTCTCATGCATGGAAAAGAGGGTGGGCTCACTTTGGCTCGCTGGACTATTTGCTGCCCCCAACCCCAACCACAGTTGACGATTGTTTAACGAAACCTTCATCAACAGACCCATCACTGCTTCCCTGCATTCCTTGTGGAGGATAGATCCAAACAGGCACCCTCCAAGAATCATCATGACATGTCTTGTGAGCTGTCCTCACCCCGCAGAGACTTGTCTCCTTCTACTAGAGGTCTACACAGGCCATAGGTCGCACTGGGTGCCGTCGCATCACTCGTGCCCTTGGTTCAGTCGTCCGTGTCACTCAAGATTTTCGCGTCCTGCGCGGGCAGGCTGGCAGTGGTGTGCCATGCACGGTATGCCATAGAGCCCGAAGCTGATGGTGCAAGCTTTCCGCTGGGGAAGGCACCTGCCTTCTGCTACTGCTAGGGATTGAGCAGTGAAACGGGAGCGCTGACGACGATGGAGATTCCAAGCGTCATGCGGGTACTGCAGACCTCCATAATGTATCTTGCAGCCGCGACTTGATTACACAACCTCTTCCTACTAGGAGTCTCGAGGAAAGTTGGTTTGCACATTTTTGCACAAAGATTGAAAGGGACCTTTAGAAGCAGTGTCTCTTCAAACTCTCTGCTCCTCCCATCTTTGTTCAAAGCATCCGCGCCACTTCAGACGCCCCGGATCGTCTGCCTTGACTCAGCGCAAGAGCCGCTTTTGAAGCACCGTGCCGTGGCCTTCCTCCGAGGCCGGAGCTGATAGTTCGCGCGACCCCCACGTGGCTGAACAAAGCGAAGTGATGACCAATATTCTGATTTTGGTCTGGCTGGATGCCAACCACTGCGATTCTGAACACGGGACAAGAACTGTGAAAGCTAAGTGCTAGATTGGTGAATGCCGCAGCTTGAATTGCTGTCAGCCTCCAACGACACGTTGACAAGCCAAAGAATCCAAGAAGGAACCGATTCACACCCTTTGCGAGGGTCCGGGTTGCTAAGGGAGGAGGCGCGGACTCAAAAGAGACTTGTGGAGATCCCGCACATTTTCTGCGTGTGGAAGATTCAAGTTGCACATCCAACTGGAGACCTGTTTGGCTCCTCCAGTTGGACTGCGTCGAACCCAACGAGTGCCAGGGTACCTCTGGAAGGAATGGTGCGAGCGTCATCCGAGCGCTTGGGGCTCAGTTTGATCGAAAGGCTCAAGGCCCTTGGAGGGAGCCAGAGTTGCTGTTTTGACAGATAATGATAATACCAATCCACAGCATAATTCTCTGGTTAAAGCATGTCAATTGCAATGTTTTATTGGACATTTGGGAGTTTGCCTGGCTGCTTTGGCTGAGAATCCTGCGCTTAGGCAACGCCTGAGGAGCCTGATAAGGCTCGGGTGGCATGGCCATTAGGGTGCGTTAGGACATGAAGAGGCATCGCCCTTCTGATGCGGCCGCCATAATTGTAGAATATCGTAGAATTCATGTTTTCCTCGTGACTCTTCAGCTGGTTGTTATTGAAGGGCAGGATAGGTCCCTTGGCAACCACTGAAGACTTTCAAGTAGCTTGGTTTGCGAACGACGGTTCGAATAGCTTGGCCCAAGAACAACACCTCCCAGCCGAGCCGCTGTGAAGTGAGCACCGCCACAGCCATTAGCGAACGGCCACGAGGTCAATGAGTTGATCAACTTGAAGGCGCCGGGTTCGTAGTTTGTGGGATCCCAAAGTTTGGGGGAAGTTGTCTGAGGTTGGGCAACCATTTTGGGGTCAAGAGTAAGAGCTTTGTTTGAGCTAGGATGGCCTTTAAATGTCCTCTTCTTGCTTGATGGCCGTAGGCCAGTCCACTAATCTCCCGGGGCTACCCAAATTTCCTAAGTTTTCCGTGGTGACCCACGTTGAAACGATGCACTCACTTCACCCAGGGGCTATCGGTTGGCGGACACATCACTCTCCTGGATGCAGGCCATTGCTGCGGAGGTGCCTAAGCAAGCGAATGGTGGGGTAGCCTGGTGCGAGTGATGAGCCGGAGACCTGTTCATGAACATCAGGGCGGATGAATCGATGTGAATCGAACAGCCGAGTCCTGTTATCATCTATATCATCTATTTATCCAAGAATCTCGGCCCTGCCTTGGTCCGATATCCAAGATCTGGGACCGAACGGCGACTCGGTGGCGCCGAGGTTTCGACTGTGGGATCTTCATCATTGAGCCCTTTGGCGGAATTGGTTCAGGTGGTCGGCGGTCGGGTCATGCAAGGGCCGGGGCTTTTCCCCGGGGCCGCCACGACGGAATCGATCGGTTTTTGGTTGGTTGGTGTTGGGTTGTGATACACGAAGGCAGAGGAGCATGCAACCACGGAACCTGAAAAGGATGCATCAGAAGCATTTGGTTCGGTGCCCTGCCAAGGTAAGGCAGCTGACCGTTGGAATGAGCCGGACTTGTCAATGATGATTGAGACCATCGATGGGAGGGGCATACACTCTGAAGTTTGCTCAAATCTGAAGACCCAGCAAACCCTCAAAAACGCCTTCAAACTTCTGGTTGTGTGGATTTTCTCCTCATTCAGCCGGGTGAGTTATACTTTCACAAGCTGAAGCCTGGGATCTGTGAATCAGCGATTGCCTCAGGTATCTCTTGCATCTTCTTCAATCTAAGTCGGCCTTAGCAGGCCTAGGCGCCGGCAGTTCAAGGGGATTCCAAATGTCTGGGCGAATTGGTGCGTTGGAGTGGTCATTTGAGTCATCAAACAAAGATGTGAACTGCTCCTTTGTAGTAATCTTGCGGACTTTTGGTCTTGATTTGTTTGGGAAGAATGCTGAGGACATAGTGAGGGGCCAACCTGCCAACCCACCCGGTAATGATCACGGTTTGCAGCCCCAAATCCTTCTCTCACTGGCAGGAACCAAAGCCTTTGGAAGGTACACCATGTTCGTTCGAGACTGACAGGAACAATTCCTTCAGGCTTTTGAACCAATGACTTGCCAGAAAGGCGGGTCTTCGCTTCTTTGGGGTCGAGAACCGTCTCATGGCGCTCCGCAGGCTTAGCTCGGCACAAGCACTGGTTCGGACAAAAGCCAGGGCGCCGATTCATTGGGATGGGTGGCTGACTTGGATCCTATGTGTGGCAAACGAACTTTCGATGATTCAACTCCCAGAGAGGACAAGGAAGGGACCTTGAGTTTACTTTTTGAAGGAGGTTCTGAAAAGCATACACGACGGGGAATCCAATCGGAATCCAACACTATTTACGTCTATGGCGCAGGGTTGCAACCATCGACAGTCAATTTGAGCCTCCGCAGATGACTTGAACGGACATGGTGAGTGTAGCTCATTGCTATGGGATTGGTGTTGTTGGCGATATGAGGACATCCTTTCCTTCTTACCATGAAGTGAGTCGCAATGTGGAGGTTCACTGCTGACACTGTTGTTCTGAAAACGTGGAACAGCGGCAGATGACTTAAGGAAAGATGGGCTGCCTGGGTCTAAACGAATTCCTTGTGACACTTGTGAGCCGAGGGGAAGAAAGCAGGTGAAGGGTCTTCCCTCAAAACGGTGGCGATGTCGGTCCACTTGGGGTTCACCAGCGACGTCGGCGACGTGGGGTGAACGTTCCTATCAGGTCTGTGACCTTCCGGCGCAAGCGGCTGAAGTGGATCGCGCAATTGTGGGGAGCTCGGTGGGTCTCCAGGGCAATGGCATGTGGGGTCAGGTGTTTTGGGAAGGCTATGGCGGCCCATAGCCGCAGAGTTTGTGTAAAAGAGGCTGGAGAGGCTTGAGAAACCTTTGCAGACACCTTTTTCCTGTGTTGCCTTGCAAGACCTTCACCAAATTTCTGTTGACGAAACTGTTGAAGCCCAATGAACGAAGTGGCTACCTTTCCGATCGGCCGGTCACGCTCGACGGACAAGTGCAGATGGTCAAGCAGTGTTTTACGGCGAGACGGCGAGACCATCTGGCACCCTCAACTCCTCAACTCAGCGTTTTGTGGGAGGCTCTTTTGTGCGTGACTCGCGAGGCTCCAACATCATGCGGAGCGCTTCGAGGAGACAGATGTGGGCCGCCTGCTACAGGACCCCAGCGGAGGGGGGGAGGCTCCCGCTTTGGGGAGAGGATTCATAGGTTTTCCTCCACTTTCAATGGCTCGAAATTGCCAGTTGGTTCGGGGGCTCCGGCAGACAAGAGATCAAGAGACTTTTATAGCACCACCTATAATTGTACAGAGATTCATTGCTTTGTTTACTTTGTGCTTGCTTCATGCAATGGTTGGGTAGAGGCTGCCCCCAAATGGATGGACCCTCCAAAACATTCAGATGACATCTCTATGCTTTCGACATCTCAGGAGCCCCTAGTAGCTTCTTGTTACTAGTAGTAGGAATGCTCCTAGTAGCGTCCTTGCCCTAGTAGTAAGGCCAGGAGCCCCTAGTAGCTTCTTGTTACTAGTAGCGCCCAGGAGCCGAAGCTCAAGAAGTCGGTGGTGGGGTGTCCAAGAGTGGTCTTGGCGTCGGACAAGATGCCAGGCCTGTCGGGTCCCCTCGTTCTGCTAGGTTTGTGGGGCCCCAGGATCAGCCATGATTGTGCTTCAAATACTTAGTAGAGTGACGATTGCAATGGATATCATTTGGAGCCCAAGAAGAGGTCGCGAAAGCCCCCGCACAGCAGCAAAACCCCATGTGGGGTCCAATGCGGGGGATATGATGTCAGTGCTCCAGAAGCACCTTCCTCTCATTCTGAGAGACCGTTTCTATCCCTTTCCTGTACTCATACGGGATCATAAAATAGGGAACCGAAGAAAGATACACACCCAGATGCAGATTGTTGCCTTAGGAGGGCCCAGGGCACAGAAGGGCATCCGTTAACAGACATCACAACCCCTTAGAAAGACTCCGAACAACTAGAATTCTCGGGCATCTAATGTTGGCGTGGACCACATGTTGCACAGCCCCTGTCTTTCATGAGTAACCTTTGAGTGCGTAGTGGAATCATAATACGTGGTTCAATCATCAAATGGCTGCCAGTAGAGCTTCCTTTCTCAGACGAGTCCAACAAGCACTTGGTGGGCCTTGGCGGGTTGTTTCCTGATTGTCAAGTAGAAAAGTGGGTGATGGACTAGAATAGCCAAACAATCACGAAGAAAAGAAAACCACCTCCCTTCCCTCGGTTGAATACTGGGCCATAGGCGGCAAGTTCCATTCATTGATGAAGTTTGCGTTCCATTTCGTTTTATCAGCATAGCACAACCATTCGTTGTATCCACATGTATCCACGTATCCGCCACTGGGATCAATTGCCCGACCAATCTCTGAACATCCCACCGAATCCCAGGCTCAAGCTTTGACGGAAGTGCCTGATAGGAAGGAGGCCGGGGACCGTGCAGAGTCAGCAATCGGGGCCATAAGAGGCCATAAGGCAATGGCCTACAAGTCCCAAAAGTCAGTGGGAGTGACAAACCCTTAGGGTTGGGATTGAAGACTCAGTTGTTTGCTGGATTGACAGGTCACCCCAAAGTAGAAACCTGAATCCTTGGTATTCATAGAGCATTCTCTTTCAGTTTATGGAGACCGCGTCAGATGACATAGATTGCTTTGTGCTAGCAAGTGTTTGGGGCCGCAACAGGTCACTGAGTAGAGTTTTGCGAATTTGCATTTTGATGTGACAAAACTGACAACACATCATTTGCTTTTGAAGACCCCTCCAAGAAAAAGTTGCATTAATGACACATGTTGTGACCACAGCGAAGGGCAGATTTTGCACAGACACCTGTGGAAAAATGAACTCAAGGGCTATATTTTCTGGAATCACAAACTTAGGAATCGAGCACCATTTTGCACGGATTATATAGATGAATCCACACACTGACATGATGCAAAAGGGGTCGTTTTGGTGTGGCAGTTTGTGTTCCTGACTTTCAATTTGGAGGCCAGGGACAGCCCCACTAACCGCCCACACCCGAAACCACGTGATCGGTGACCGCAGGGTCTTGAAGTTGGTCACCTGGGGTTTACCGGTTCCTTCTCAAACTTCGACGTGATTGGACAACAACCTATCAAGAAAATCGCTAGAAGGTGGCAGCATGTGGCAACCGATACTTCCCATATTCCCTTCTGCTTCACTGCCCCTACCACCCAGTCCACTCACCCGAGGCCGAAAGATTCCAAAAAGCAGTGGCCGGGGTTCCCACCGAAAGCGAAGCTTTTGCCACCGAGGTCGTTCAAGATTGCAGCCCTCAGTCTACCAGCTAAAGATCAGCCATGAGTGGTTGACATTCTTGGAGAACTCGTCGGAAAAGAGGACGCTGGTCTAATCTAGAAGTCATCGGAAAACCCAAGAACCAGTGGGGAAATGAGGACGAAAGCAACATCAGGCGCGAGAGATCACCTTTGAGGGTGTGTACCCAGTCTTCAGCAATCCCCTCTCCCTGAGTGGAATGAATAGACATGATCTCGATCCACTGAGGATGCCCTTCGCTCGGGCAAAGAGGCAGAAACGTGCTGGGCGGAGTCGATGGGATCTTCACAGTCCTCCGCTTCTGAATGGACGAGCTCAGAGGGCACAAAGAGAACCACACACGGGGCACAAAGGTCTTGCGAAAACTGCAGGAGATACAAGTTACAAGATGTTACAAGCAACAAAAAGAACCGACAGTTTGCTCAACAAAGTGTGCATTCTTCACTCGTTGATCAACGCGGCCCAGTACCCATGCCCATCCGCATGCTCATCCCGGCACTGCGGAAGGGGAGACGTGCACACACACATATCCACTTGGCATCAGACTGGCGCCCGGCGTTTCGCAGACGAATTCAGTGGTGTCCGAGCGTTTCGCCCTTTCGCACGGCGTCGCGTGGGAGGTGGACTACACGAAGATCAGAAAGGCCCGGTCCATTGACGTTCCATGAAGTTCAAACGACCATTTTCCGAACAGCACACAGGTGGTGCCATCTACTTCTATTATTTTCAGGGAGTGTTGTTTGAATTGAAAGGTGGGTTGGTATACTGTACTTTCAATGAACAGTGTTCAAGCTCGGGCTGGAGGGATTACTTTTCAGGAACTTCCTGATATTTGTTTGGTCATTCGTGACGCTCAAAACTTGATGCAATCGACATCAATAACATATATTGTTTGGGGTTTTGTGTGTTCTGGTAGACCCGTGTGGCTCAACCATAACGAAGCTTCAACTTCTCGAGTTAAGACATAATAAGTGGGTGCTTTCATGATAAGCCATGGGTGACGGACAAGAATAGCCAAGCGATCACGAACACGCGAACACCTCAGTTGAACACCAGCCAAATGCTTTTTCAGTTCGCTCACTTCTTGCTGTTGCTTCTAAACTCTTTCCTATCTATTGAAGAAGAGGGAAAAGGCAGGGCCAGTCTGAGGGTTTAGATTCTAGATCGCAGTTCTTGCACTGCTTCTTTCGATCGGTTCCACACCGGTTTCGCGAACCGAGTTCCTTGCAGCATCGGACCGTGAACGAACTGCCGGAAGCATGGGAGTCCTTTTCTTCTTGGCTTCTGTTCCACATACGCCAGGGAAGATGAAACTGTCCGCCCATTTCTACCAGCGTTTTAGCTTCAAAACTGGTAGGGGACAGAGTCGCCAGGAAGAACAGGCCCAAACCACTGACCAACACCGTAAGCCCAAACATCCTCCCCCAAACTCAAACTCGTCTTCTTTTTAAAGTGAGGAAGCCTGTGCTTGGGTGCTTTGACCCTTAGGAAGTTGGGCCCGAGCCGCCTGAAGAGAGCCCCAAAAAGACGCCCGGCAACCCAGAGTTCCGGTCGACTTGGGTCGAGACATCGCGAAAGCACCAACAAGGCTAACAAGCGATCCTTGGTTTCGAGTTCCAACCAGAGATGGCACTTGGTCACCGTCATATTTAATCACTCAACCCTTCATGGTGAAGCACCTTTTGTTTGGCCCCTGAGACCGTACCAAAGATTTTTGTGTAAGTGTAGAATTTCTATCAAGCAATTTTGTTCTATCACGTTGCCCCTTTGTTTGCGTTTGTGGGTCTTTTTGTCCTTTGTGCTTTGCGACTGGTTGGGGCACGGCAAGGATGTTTGGGATGAGCTTAGCCCATTAGAGATCGGATTGTAAGCACCATTCCCAATCTGCTCATTCCGAGCATCGAAGAGGAACGGATGGATCGGTGCCAAAGCATCGACACCCGAGGCCCAAGCTGAAGCGTGGAGCTCCAAAAGCAGGAGCGAAGGCTGCAGTGCGGTTCTGCAACTCTCACGGTTGCGGACTACCGGCGTGCCGCTTGGGTCGGTAGGTGGATGAATCTCACAGAATCACCCCATGTTCGGGCCTGTGAGAAGCGGTGTGAGAAACTATACAAAGTTGGTACTTGGTGCTGACAAGAGCTTGCCGCGGAACTTGACGTGTCAAGTCTGGAAAACCCAAGCCACCCACATTAGATGGGCCGATCGCAAAGGCCAAACATTGAAGCATGGATGCTGCGGTTCTTCGTATTTCAAGTGGCGAACGTATCACGTCCAAACTGCACGTCATTTCGCTGTCCACGAGTTGTTGATTACCCCAGCTGTGATGAACAACCTTTGGGTCTTTGGATGATTTTGTTTGCTGGTCAAGTTGCGCAAAGTGAAACAAGTTGACTTGGTTGCATTCCCTCTCAGAACACCTTGTCACCGGTACTTTTTTGGAAGGCTGCAAGAAGAATCGGAATGGGGTACATGTCAATGGTAGTTGGTCCCAAGTTGTTCATGGCTGTTGTCGATCCAAGTGAATGTTCTTCTGGTGATAGCCACGGCAACAAGAATTGTAGCTGAATCCACCGGGACCATTGGCTTGGGGTTTCGTCACAATGTGAGAGACGCAATATTCACCTTAGACTCTTGCTACTGCCAGAAGGGTTGTGGGATTTAATGCTTTGATATGTGGGGTTCGAGATTTTGTATTTCATAGAAGCTACTGGGCTACTTAAAGTCGCTTAGTAAGGACATCTAACCCACAAGATCCTGGCAAGTCGTCAGGGCCGTGCCACAAAGCCCAAAGTGACGGGGCCTTAGCTGGGAGACCGGGAAGGGCTCGGTCCTGATTTTGTCATATTCCTCTACTTCTGCCACGTGGTGCTACGCGCGTTTGGGAAGGGGCATGTGAGTCAGTGTGCTGGTTGTCATGTGAATGTATTGTCCACATTGTAATAGGTCCCAGCGCCATCTTAGAATCTTCTACCTCAGAGCACAGCGCAGATGAAGGGCCATTGAAGACATGAAGAATGTCTTGTTTCAGAGTCACCAGGTGGACATTTGAGCGTATGTCCATGTCATCGGAAACAGTTAGCGGACTTGATCCGTTTCGGGTGCTTTTTGGCGGACCGGTTTCTTGAGCAGTCGCTTGGACAAGCAAGATCTGTGGCCCTGAGGTGGGGAGTTGTAGTCCAGGGTGTCACTGGGAACTTTGGGATTAAAACTGGTCTTTTGAAGAAGCTCCACATCTGACGCTGAGTGTTCAAATGTTGGAACAAAGGATAAGGAAGAAAGAAAAGAACCACAGCATACAATGTTGTTGAGCTTTTCGAGAGTCTACGATTTCATTCTAGCTTTATATAGACACTTTAGTGTAAAACTTGAAGACACAAGACTCAGTATCTCTAAAGCTGGTGCCAGAGGGGATGTGTGACTTGTACAAAAATCAAGCAGTTGCTCTTGCCACCAAAACGGACCATGAGGCATCACCGGCCTGCCTAACGATCGGGCGCCCAGATGCGCGAGTGAGGGTCATCGATCGGGAAACGTCGGAGTGGACGTCCACAGTGGACCCGCCGTCACAAGAAGAATGTCTCTCACAAGTGGAAAAGATGCCTCAACATGTGGACGCCATTTCCTCAGTTGCGAATGGTGCACTCCAGACTCCAGACTAGGAAACGCTGGGTCCAGACATATTACAGGTAAGTCCTTCTTACATTGTCATTTACTTTGTTAGTGCCCATGGCTTTGGCAACAGCCATTGGAGCTTGCTTTACGGGCTTTGGATGTGGAGTGGCGGCCTTGCTTTTTGCACAGCCCCTCGGACACTCATGTGGATGTGGAACGAATGAATGGCAATGTTTTGCCCCTGCGTGGGCCTAGGGCCTAGAGTGTGATTGTCTCATGACTGAGAAGTGTTTGCGTTTTCAAACTCACATCATTTAGCCACAATCCTGGACCCACTGGAGGCGGCAGAGGAGCCTGCCAAGCACATCAACGAGTTCGAGTCGGCCTTCCGATCCCAACCAGACTGTCCGAATTGCCCAATGCAACTGTGGCCAACTTCAGGTGACAGTCACAGGTCCCGACCCTGAGCGCATCAGTTTGTGCCATTGCAATCTGTGCCAGAAGCAGTCTGGAAATGTTTTTGCAGTTCAGGCACGCTTCCCCAAAGAGCAGGTGGCGATTAAAGGAATATCCACCGTGTGGAAACTCGCGAAGGATGAAGCAGACCAGCTTGCATATCGCAATTGCGTTAGCCTCGGAGGTGGTGGTTCCTTTCACTTCTGCCCCAACTGCGGTTCGACTGTGTGGTACATGGCAGATGCAGACAGCGCCCGCATTGGCGTGAAGATTGGTTGCTTCACTGACCCAACTTTCCCGCCGCCCAAATTGTCCGGTTTTGAGGAGTACATGCACCCATGGGCGATGGAGGCAGCTTCCCTTGCAGTTCAACATATGAAATGACGCCATGTCATATGAAGCGGCTCGGCCGCTCGGGCCCTCCACGTCCAAAGAAATCAGAACTGCTTGCAGCAAAAGAATGAAGCAGCTGTGTAGGTGTCACGTGTTCTTTCCCTGGAAGTGCAAAGGAAAATTGGTGATCACAGGATTCCCCTGTTTCTGTCCTCCAGATGTGTTTGAGAGGCCCGCTGGAAGACTTTTCTGATGGACCCACTTTGTGATGGTTCGAGCCACTTTCCGAGTGCTGCAGATGGATCGCATCGGTTGGTCTGGGTCCGAAAGTGGTGGATAGTTGTGTTTGTGAAGCAACCCCAGTTATATTTGCTTTCAGGCTACTCAGCGTTTTGTTCACCGCCTGCGCTTGTATTTTGCAATCATTTAGTTCCGACGGTGCATTTGCACAGGTTAAGCTAAGCTAAGTTGTCGGTGAAGCTGCTGCAAAGGGCTTTCGTTTTTCATTAATAAATGTGAAAGAGTTTGGCAAAGGTTCCCATGTGTTTGACTGAACCAAGGGTCCTCAACTTTCATTTTGGCAGAAACATGTCCTGCGGCGTCTGTGGTCAGATTTGGCCTTTGCAGAAAACTGCGACACCTACCTGTTTCTTCTTTCAGAGTCTAGAACCATCCACAGGGCCCAGTGAAGGGGTTTCAGTTTCATCTGAGATACAGTTCATGACTCAGATGGTAAATGTTGTTTGCAACATTCTCTCGACATGTCTAGTTTCAAATCAAAGTGCAAGACCTCTGCAGACAGCTGTTTTAGAGACTTTGCAAGAACACCTGCCTGTCAATAACACATTGTCCACAGCAAGTAACACCCTTCTGCGCACAGTTGTTGAAAAGTTGTTTCTGGCAGATAGCCGCAAGGAGCAAGGAGCAAGGTGACTGAAACACATGGGGTAGACCAAAGTTTCACCATCCAAAACATCTCACGTTCTGATCGATTGAACCGGATGGGCAACCAAGCGCCTTAAGAAAGGCGGTCATCGCTAAAGCTTTGGGACGGAGGAAAGACGAAACCACATAAATCAATAATCTTCTGGGTGCAGACCATGGTTGGGGCAATGGTGTGCAAAATCACCGGCTGTTGAGGAGCTAGTGGCCAGAGGACACAAGGACACATCCTTGTGGGATTTTTGTCACTCCATTTCTCACCTGACCTCAACTTTCTAAACATTCTTATTCAGTCTCAGGTGGTTGAGGCTCATTGACCCCTTTCCTTTCCAACCCCTTTCCGACCTAGGTCGGATTGAGCGCTAGGTCTGGATGAGTTGGACGTCCAAGGGATCTCCACATGGAAATGCAAATACCTTGAAGGCATTTTCTTGGTGGCCTCTAATGACCCCGACGACCTTTGGGCAGCTTCTGGGAATTTGGCCTTCAGGAATAGCTTCTGGGCGACCGTCGTGCAGGACTTGCATAGCAACAAGACCAACCAAGCACTGAAAGAATGACCATGTCACGAAAGAAACCAAACTGACCAAGCGGTTCACAGGATTTCACCAAGCAGAGTGCTGCTGCCCTTTGCAGCCAACTTGGGGCGAGCCTGAGGATGGAACAGGAAGCCAGCTGTGAATCCCCAAGTCAAAGCATTTCTGCACTAGGTCACTAGGTCTTATATCATCTCATCGTTGTAAGTGAATTTCCTTTGTACGTCAGAATTGTTTGGATGGATTATCCAGGTTCTTGCTTGGATTGTTAAGAGTGTTTCCTTTCCAGCAAGTCTCTCCCAAGCACATCCTGCAATACCAGCACCCCGAGCCCTACGCGCCGGGCGGCGCTGGGTTTTGTCATGGCGGAGCCGTCGGTGACGATTCACGTGAGTTTGCCCAGTGGACGTGCAGAAGTGATCTCGGTGGCGGCGTCTTCCAAGCGCCGTGGTCACGTGGGTTCAGGGAGGATGGTGGAGTGTTCGTTATATAATTAAACATGAACGACCCTATCCACCCCTGGGAAAAAAAACACACCTCAGCTTCGTGGTCACTTAAAACTTCACCTGAGCTTCCGTGAGTTTTGGCAGACAGGCTTCAGAGGTTTCTCACCTGAAGCGACCGAGGGTCGCGGACCTGAAGGTGGCCGCGCAGCGGAGCTTGCAGGAGACGGGGGAGATGGGGGGTGGAGCCAAGGCGAAACTCAGAGTGGATTCAAAGATCAGAGTCCACCTGAAGACTCTGGCTTTCTAGGTGGATCATGCTCCAGCTTTCCCTTCCATGCCCACTCCAGCTCCTCTGAAAGCTCTGAAAGCCCGAGACCCCAAAGATTGAATGTTCCACAAGGTCATGTGCATCCTCGGTGGCTCAAGCTCCGAAGTTTCTCAAGATCCTTTGCCTGATCTTCCAGGTCCCTCCCTGCCTTGAATCTTCTGTTTTCAGATCCTTTCATCACGACGCTCCCTTCCTTTTCCATTCTTCCCTTCTACCCCTTGGTTGTTTCCCCCTCCGTTCTCCCTTTCACAGCACCCTCCACCCCCCCACCGACCGTCGCCCATTCAGCTCCTGTCGCCCCCAGGAGGGCTTCTTAGGCCTCGTTGGCCCGGATGGGCACCGCCTGGATCCCGCCGACTCCCTGGAGGCCGTCGGGCTCCGCGACGGCGCCGCTCGGTGAACGAGGGGTGAGCATGTGGGAGCATCATAGGTGGAATCATCGAGAATCGGATGGTTGATCTATTGATATGTTTTTTTAATTCTCTCTCTCGACACATACATGGAATGTATCTAAACAAGCAATTGAATTAAAGTTACCTTGAAGGGCATTTTTCAACTTTTCGCAACATTTCTGTAACCTGTGAATCACATCAGCTTCCATCACTTCTCTCTCCGAAAGAGCCCCTGCCCCACATGGTGAAAAGGGGCACTCGATTCACTTGATGTTTCTTCTGGGTGATTTTTTTGTTTTTTCAGGGCGCAGCATGGCTTTGTTTGTGGGACATCGGCCAGATTCCATTTCAAGCATTGCGGATGTTTGCCTCGTTGGCCGTTTTGGACACCTTTCCAGCAGACCATGATTGCAGATGCCAATAGAGGGTGTTCATCCACTCTGGGGTGTCACTAGGAGGATTGGGGGAGCTCCTGTATTCTGAGCCCTACTAGAAATCATATGAACAATGGCTTCGCAACCCGTATCTCAAGCCCTTCGGCCCTCTTTTGTACTTCCCTCGACTTGTTTTGCGCAGGCGAATGTTCGGTCCCCAGCCTCAACGGTCCAGCTCTAAACTCCACTTCCAAGGACCACGTGAGCGCGGTGGTGCAATCCGTGCAAGTGGTGGCGGGAGAACGGGCCTTTTGCTTCTGGTGCAGAGGATCCAACCACGTGGAGCCATGGCGAAGCAGAGAAGATAGAACTCCAAATGACTGGCCCGCCACGGTCATGGCCAAATGCTGACCAAGAGCAAGAGAGAGAGAGAGAGAGAAACGGTTTGGGCTTTGCTTCGATGGGTCTCATGGCCGCCCCCTGTTTTTGGTGGTTGGGGTGAGGATTGCCACGCTCCTTTTCTTTGACTTGATGCTATGTAGTCTTTGGTTCTTTGCGCGACACGGTTCTGGGGTTCCCTCAGTCTCAGTTGCCATGTCTTTTCACTGTCTTGACACATGCATGTCTTAAGATAGGGAGATGTCCAGATTAAACCCCCGGACCTTCACCTTTCAGAAAACCATTCTCGGTCGACGGCTGCGACATGGGTCGACTGAGGTGTCCTGGGGCTTTGTGACTGAAGGTATGGATGCAGGGGTGCGAGCTCGACTCAGCCTCTGGGGTCGAATTTGAGCGTCCTTGGGTCCTCGGGTCCTGGGGACACTGGGATCAGTTGGGAACTATCTCCGTGTTTCGGGAAAGGCAAGTGGTTCATGGTGCCTGTTCCTTTTTTCTTGTTTTGTGAGAATTGACTCTCTGGAACTCCAAATCAGAGCAATTTTGGACCATTACTGCTTCACCGATTTTGCCTTGAAGTCGAACGATTGTCTGGCCAATAAAGGACAGCTCTTGTGGTCGAACGTCGTCCACACACACGAAACGAAAAAGGTCCGTCCTCACGTCGCTCAGGGAACGTCCAGACGATCTCCGCCAGTGCGGGCGCCTTTGCGGCGGTCTTGGGCGATGGATCTCTGGTGGTCTGGGGAGATCCCCACCAGGGGGGCGACCGGGCTTTGGAGCTCACCGACGTGAGGGAGGTGGTGGGTGCGCAGAAGGTGCACCGGCGCAAAGGGGGGTGCTGGTGGTACTTTGGGTTGGACAAGGGGCCAAGCACAGAATCTGATGGGACACCTGAATCCACTTCAAAAGAGTTACGGGGAGTTGTGAACCTACGTATGTGGGAATTGCTCATATGCAGCATTATGCATTGTAGCAGTTTCAAGTATGTCGACAGATGTAAAGATCTAACACCAGAACATCAATGACTGCATGTTTGACTTGCAATTCACTTGCGTTTGCTTTGCCCGTCGCAGCTTTGGGATCCTTTTTTGGGGCCGACAGCCCGCGCGACCAAACGCGAACGATGGGCCGAGGCGTTTGCAGCGATTCTGAACGATGGCCGAGCGGTGGCCTGGGGTGAGCCGGAAGAAGGCGGTGACGCGAGCGAGGTGAAGGCGGCCTCTGGGGGGTTGAGGGCATCCCGATGTTTCATAGGTGAGGGATGGTGAGGGTGATGAGTTTGTGTTCTCAGGCCTTCCGGGATTTTGTGAGGCCTTCAGTCCTCACGAGATGTCAAGGATACCGCTTCTATACAGTCAACAAAGATGTTTTTTTGCTTCTCTAGCGGGATTCTCATGGATTATCGTGAAGGCTTTGGACTGAGGGGCACGGCAAATCCGTAGAAACAAGGGCAACATACATGTTGCCATCCGTAGTAGAACTGGGAAGTCACAGGGACTGGTTGCTAGACGTCCTCTCAGTTCTACCTGGCCACTCTGCGAAACAAGGGGATACAAGATGAACTGGTCCTCCGCGACCAGGACGGCTGATAGCTTTAGTTTGTGAATCATGTGAACTTATTGAAGGCTAACCACTTACCACTTGGATTAGAGTTAGATTAGATGATGTGGTCAGTGAGGTGCTTCACACCTTGCAAAACATTTGCAAGCAAGCTCGGACCCACTTAGCGCCGAGAAATCCAACAGAGAAGTCAATTAGACTTGGACCCCAACTAGAAAGTCTCATGGTTTTCCATTTCTATCAGCAGGTGGTTATATACTTTGTTGCCTTAGTTTATGATCTCAACTGTCACCAAACCGGTGCCTCTCAGGAGCAGTTGCGAAACGTCCGCAGCCTCAGCGCGACGCACCGAGCCTTCGCAGCACTGCTGGAGGATGGCAGCGTGGTTTGTTGGGGCGATAGCTACAACGGCGGCAGCTGCGAGACCGAGCAGGAGCTGATCATGTGGCGCCGAGTCTTTTTCGACCTTTGGGTGAGATGGTGAATGTTCTTAGGGAGGTTTCAGTTCGAGTCACCATTACTTGGGTATACTTGGGTGCCATTTTGTGGATGTCTACTGTGTCCTTTTCGTACCAACACCAATGGTTTGGCTTGAGGAGGTCCTCCTGTTTTGAAACTCATCCGGACCTAACCCTCACAAGACTATTTCCATTTTGATGAGCTTGGGACACAGGAGATGCGTGGCACCACCACGCCGTTGGGGAGAGAAAACGTGTTCGTTGTGCTTTCTTTGACCCATCCTAGAGTCCTAGAGGTTCAAAACTTTGAAGGAAGATCCAATTCACAGGCTGCTGAAGCTGCCTTGTCATTTTTGGGCACCTTTGTTGGGATTTCCACCATATTCCACCTGTATCAGTTCCAAGCAAACTAACCTTGGAAGCTCCAGGTGGATGATCCCCATGAGGACAGCTCTGGGATTCCTGCCCATGTAACCCAAAAACACGTCAGGAGGCTTTTCGCGTCTTCCGATTTTTGTGACTGATTCCTGCCGGAGGCTTTCAATCGTTCCCAGCCAATTGCCCCAACCCCCCCCCCAGAATTCGTCAGGAGTTCCTCACCAACGTGACCTCGATCAGTGCCTCGGCCTCGGCCTTCGCAGCTGTGCGGCACGACGGCAGCGTCGTGACCTGGGGAGATCAGGATTCCGGGGGTGACAGCAGCGAGGCGAGGGGGGTTCGGGGTGACCAGTTGATCCAGCGTTGGCTGTTGGATATCACATGCCAAGAACATGTGCCACGCTAGTAGTAACAGGTGCCTTACTAGTAACAAGAACGCTACGTTCGGGGCTCCTGGCCTTACTACTAGGAACAAGAAGCTATTAGTAACAAGGGTGGTCTTCCCATCTCTTGAGCACCCGAACTCATGGGACCTTCGGACGAGCGACCTTCGGAGGTACCCAACCCACCACAAGACTTTGGTAGACCATGAACTCGACTGGTCAAGCTCTTGATTTTCGGTGGTTTGTTCTTTTCTTGTGTACCATCCACCATGAAACAGCCTTTCCGCAAAAAGCTCCAGCAGGTCCAGCCGCTACGGGAGGTGGTGGAGATTTGTGCGACCAACTTCGCCTTCTGCGCGCGCTTGGCCGACGGAGGGGTGAACGTGTGGGGCGAGCCACTGGCAGGTGCTGAGATCACCCAGGTGAGTCGGACAGAAATGAGACTGGCGAAGAATGACAGGGGTAAGTGAGGGCTATTTGAGGGAGGCAAGATTTAGTTGATTCGTTTCCCAGAACGATCTACCAGCTCCTTTCTCTTGCTTCTGGATGAATGCAAAGCATCTCGCTCTTAGGGCTGAAAGGCCTGAGAGACATATTCTTTGATGGGCAATCATCGAATGTGAACAGGTCACTTGCTTCTTTAGAAGTCCAGCATTCCAATAAAACTCAGGCCTACAGGATCTGCCCAAATCTATCTATCCAGCGGATTCGCGATTTCCCATCAAACCCTTGCCCAAAAGAAAGGACTATGCAGACCAAAAATCATTCAGGACACAACCACTCTTACACTCCCATGGCTAGAAAGACTCAATCCGTGATCTTTTGGAATTACCTTACTCTTTCGGAGGTCTCTAGGTCCGTCTTCCTATTTCTTTTTGGAACACCTGGCACTCCAAAAATCAACAGTAATTCAACCAGGCAATTTCCGGATGACGATCCGATACCACTGATTTCGACTCCCATAACTCTCCCATGGCCGACCGCTGGCCCCAGGTGAAGGATCAGCTCTTTGGCGTTCAGAAGATCTACTCCACGCGCTTCGGCGCCTTTGCCGCGCTCCGGGAGGATGGCCACGTGGTCACCTGGGGCCATCCAGACTCTGGGGGTGATAGCAGCAGTGTGAAAGCGCAGCTCTGGACACCCGGCGTGAAATCAGTTTATGGTGTCAAATCGGCAGTATTTGAATGTGTTTGGTGGTTGAATGAAGGTGATTTTAGAAGGAAGTCAGTAGCACGGATGTTGCTTTCACCACCTCCTTTTTCCACCACGCCTCGAAATTCTTCGGACTCCGAAAGTTCGAGGCATGTGTTCGCTTCGTGTTCGCTTCGCTTCCTGTTCCGAGGAATGTGAAAGAGGTCCATTCCACGGCCAAGGCCTTTGCGGCCATCACCCATGCCGGCGGAGTGATCACCTGGGGCGATCCACACTATGGTGGGGACAGCGAGGCAGTTCAGGATCAGCTCAAGGCTCCATTCTCCAAACTGAAACCACCTTTCGAGGTGTCCTCTTTCGTTCTAAAGAAACCTCAAGAGCTGATTTGCTTAATTCTCCCAGGTTTGAATCCGGCCCCCAAACCGATCAACCCGAGCCCGGATCCCATGGAAGGAAGGTCTGGAAATCGGGTTCGACTGGCCAGGATGTGGAAGAGCTCTATGGTACCAACTTCGCCTTCGCGGCGATCCGCCGGGATGGCCGGATCCTCGCGTGGGGTGCCGTCGGCGCAGGAGGCGACATGAGCGAGGCGGAGAAGCAGCTTCCCTATCTGTGAGGCGACAGAGACGCAGGAGAACCCCGTTAAACGGGGTCTTGGTCGGATCTGTTCGACCAAAGGCAACAGTTTGATCAAAGGACGTAGAGCTAGGCAGCTACGCTAAGCTAGGTAGAGCCTATGACCCATCTTTTTTGCGCGTGCCGCATGCTGCAGTTTGAATACCTTGCTTGAAACATACGCAAGGGAGTTTGCGGCTCGCGTACTTTCCGTAGAGAAAAGCAGAGCTGGATTCTACGGTCCTATCGGGTCTATGAGGGAAGGAGCCCTGCACCAATGATGATGATCCACTGGTGAAAACCGGATGGAAGAAGGAAAGCTTGTTAAGGTGAATCATGTCCCACCGCTTGCACGGTTCCAGGTGGTGCGGTGTCTCTCCTTTGCCCTTGTTGTGAGATGGTCCGCTAAAATGGATTTTGTGGTTTACTGTTTCAGTCTTCTTCAAATGGCACCAGTTCCATTCTTCAGAGACACGAACTTCCAACTGGTCGCGTGCAGTTTCAACACTGAAGTGGCTGAACGAATCCATGTTTTTCTGTGGTTTCCAGATGTGGCGATGTTTTTCTATGTCTTCCCAATGGACCGAGTTCGCAACACAAGGCCCCAGCATGTGAGACCATCTCCCCAGAAGCTGTTCCGTGATGTCCCACCATGTCCCACCCACATCAGGCTGTTCCCCGACACCGAGGTTCCGGCGTCGGCCCGATCGACCGGTGGGAGTGAAACAAAGGAGCGGACGGGACGCAGACGGAGCCTGGAGACGGAGGGCTGGAAGGGAGGCTGAATGTGTGTGTTGCACTTCCATTTTGTTTGTGAGATGGGTTTGGAAGGGATGTTCCTTCCCACAGAGGGATTCTTTTATCCAATGGGATGCCCATTCCAGATGACCAAAGATCCACTCGTTCTTTTTGGCAACACCATGCGCTTTTCGATTCGCCAGAGACCTTGTTGATCAAACCACCAACCCTTCCAAGAGGTACTGGAAGAGAGGGTCTTCTCCCAAGGTCAAGGAACACCTGCGGATCGGCCCATTCTTTCAAGATGAGTTGTGTGTGGATGGATTGCAGAGCTTGTCAGCTTCTCCAAAACCTCAACATGAGGGCATAAATGGTATGAAGCGAGTGCAAGAAAGATGAGTGGGGGTTAGGTAGCTGAGAATCAGCATGGATCCTGAGTGTGCCTCGCCAGAAGACTCTGGAAAACTTGTTCCTGCCTGTTTTGAGGTTTGTGACGTGTACAAACTGCTGGCTCCCAAGTGTTCTGAGTTTAGACTACAAGTTAAAGGTGAAGAATGTGTTCTTTTCTTTTAAACCCAAGTATTTGACCTGATTTGGGTGTAATTATTAGGGGAGACTCTTCTAGTCCGAGGGGAAGTTGGCGATAGGTCTCCAAGATTGCAGAGCCTGATCCATTTGTTTGGCCTCCAAAAGGACAATTGGCTGAGTTGGCTGAGACTTGATAAACCCGAGACATCCAACGGAGCAGAAGACACCGGTGGAGAAGCAAATTTGCGCAGCTGTTTCGAACGCTTGGAGTCGAGGCCAAGTGAGATGATGAGCGCCGCAAACCATGGTCAAACGATGTGCAAAGAGAGTTCAAACACCTCAACACTTGATGGGTGGGCACATGGATCTGCAAGCAAAGCATGTAGAGTTGGATCAGATACATTCGTTTTGATGCAGCTATCCCATGCGACTTTTCCGGACCCTTCAGAAGGAAGACGACCCCGGCACAGGAAGAACTTCCGAGGAAGACGTTTGAATTTTGCACCACTAAGTCACTAGGCCACTTGCCCTATTTCCAACCCCAAACAAAAGCAGTCAAGAATACTTAGCATGTCCACAAACTCACCCGGCCTCCAGCTGTTGAATGCAAACAAAAACACCAAGCAAAAGACAACAGGACAGAAAGCTACAAGCACCTGGTCACACTGAACGCTGAGTGCGCCATGGAGCACCTGGGCGTCGCGGAGCTGCTGCGGCGGCGAGGCGTGGTGGCCGGCCGACCGCGCCGCCACCGATGCGCGGGACGGGGGGGGACGGGAGCAGGGCAACGCAGCAGGGCCAGTGATCCAACCGACATACACCACGTCAATCTGCATTTTTTCTGGGATTTGGGCTGGGTGATCACCCAGTCATGTGCACACCAACCTGCTGGTCGCTCCCAAGTGGCAGGCACCGGTGAGCTCTCACGGGACGATTTCTTCCGATGCACCGGGGACCCAGCCATCCTCCTGGAAGCTGTCGGATGTGGGGCCGTGAGGCTCTTGCAGAAGGAGGTTCCTCTCCAACTGGCCATTCCTGCTGCCAAGAAATCCTTCCAATTTTCAGCCTTCTCTTCTTCACCAATCCTGGAGAAAGAACTTGCAGGCAGTCGTAATCACCTTGTATTGTAATCCTTGCCAAAAAAACGCGTTAGTCTGGGGAAGCCGGCAAGATCTATGAAACAAGCGCCACCAGCATAGGTTTTTGTCCACACTTCCAGTACTCGTACTAGGAGGCTCTATGAGGCTATCGCAGTGTGAGGAAGTGTAGCCCTTATCCCAGCCACCTAGACCATCTCCTAGTCCTACTATCCCATCATCCACCTTTGCGGACCTACTCACTTCACTCGACCCGTCTCACCGCGCTGAAAACCAAGGTCTGCAGGACTTGAAGGCCAACACCCCGACGACCCGAAGCTCTGAAGGTGTCTTAGTGGCAGAGACCTGGAGGAAGCTGGAAGCTTCAATGTATTCTTCCCCAAACGGTCTGGTCGCACTAGGGATTCTTGCTGTAGGTGTTGAGGCTGGGATTGATGGGCGTGCGATTTGCAGTACATTCATGCCTCTCGAGATCTTCGAAGTGCATTTCAACTGCACGGGCTCGCTGACACTCGCCGCCGCAAGAGGATGCTTTGCTCGATTGTGCTCTCACCGTGGTGCAGTGCGCATTTTCGGACTTGGTGTTCACTTTTTTGCGGCAGGCACAAGGGAATCCTCGCATTTTGGTGGTCTCAAGCCTACTCTTTCCGGCAGGTGGCGGTGATCGGAACGGTTTTGCTTCCATACTTCCATGTGCAGACTTGGTGGCAGGTGCAGTGTTTGGCCTGCTCTGATTTCGGCCCAAATCTAGTGAGTCGCGAACCTTGGACGTGATTTCAGCATCGCGCCAAAGCTTTGTTTTGGCATCTCGCTCACATGTGTGTGCCCAATCATTTCCGTGCTCTCAAAATATGTGCGCTCCCATGTTTTCTCACATATTTGTGCTCTCATGTGTGTGCTTTTGAGTGATTACACGTGTCTGCTCTCACGTATGTTCTCACAGGCGTGCTCTTTTATCTCTGCTTTCTCACCCGTGCTCTCGCACGTGTGCTGTCATGTGTTTGCTCTCATATGCGTGCTCAGTCTATGCTCTCATATGTGCGCCCTCGCGTGTGTGCTCTTACAGTTGTGCTCTCAGGTGGACTGGTGTTTGCTCACATACGTGTGGTCTTATGTGTGTGCCCTCATATGTGTCCTCTCATGTGCTTGCTCACATATGTACTTTCATGTATGTGTGCGTGTTCTGAAGTGCAGAAATTGGTTTAGTCACCCGTGTGTTCTCGTGAAGGGTCATCAAGTCTCCCAGAGGGGAGGGCAGCCACGGAGGGCACTTGAGGCGCCTGGTCGGTTCAGTGAAGAACTGAACTCAACGAGTTTAGTGATTTCGGTAGGTCCCACAATGGTAGGTGCAATATGGTGCGACATTTTGAAGAGGGGCGGTGAAGCAACCAGTGATTTTGCCTGCAAACAATAGTTCTTTTTGCGAAGATCCATGTTACTCAACCCCCAATCCATCGCAGCACACTGCTTGGCCTGCTAGGTCTAGAGCTTCCTGTCCGGGGCTCTGCGTTTTGTTTTGTCTGAGGGGCTTGGACGGGAAGATCTATAAGAAGTCCATCAATGGCATTGATTTGTTTGTTTTATTCATGGTCTAGGTGTGTGAGATTTGGAAAGGACATCAGGCCATCCCAATGAAGCAATGGCGGACCCCTCCGAAAGAGGACGGTGGGAGGGATTTTGTAATAGGGCCTGCATTGTCATGGTATGAGTATGGTCCCGTACCGGCGCCACGAAGGGAGGGAGTCCCGGCAAAGCCAATTGTAAGGGAAAGACAAGACAAGACAAACACAGTCATGATATTCCAGTAACTCCGGATGCTGGGGTTTACTTGCTCACAGCTGACCCACAGAAGCTGGGGATGGGAGCGGACAAGTTTTGAGGATGCAGAGCATGCTCACAAGAGCAACACTCGGCTCCAACCCCAAGCTCTCATACAGCTTTCAAATGCTTCCGAGTGTTTGACTGCATGAGAACAGCAGAATTCTTGGTGGGGTGCATTCCGGAAGAAGACTAGCAAACCGCAGAACGTGTGGCCGAATGGTTCCAGCTCTAATCCTGGCCGCGTTGCCGTGTTTGGCCCTTCAGATCCCTCCAAATACGCCCAAAAGTTGCTCCTTTAGGGTTTTGTGACACAGAGCGAGCTGTATGCGGCTCGCAAGACAGCCCCATTCTGGATCGCAAAACGTCTGACCCTTTTGCGGTGGTTGAAACGAGACTCCTCGAGACATTGCCGAACCACCGAGCGTGGAATTGAGGCCTCTCCTGCCCGGCTTGGGATCTCAATGCGGAGAAGTTGGGTTTGAAGCATGCGAGATACAATATAATATAAGTTAAGTAGATATTCAGATACTCATGTCGTGGCTTCATGAAACAAGTACAGTAAGTGAGCAGAGCAGCGGCCCAAGCTTGCAGGCCAGCGTTCAAAAGGATTATATAAAAAAGGGACAGTATTCACTGGTTATATCAGTTGAGATTGCACGAAGCACAAACAATATATTATCCTATCAACCAACCAGTATGAACGGCTACACCAGGTTTTTGGTGCAACTCAACGGATTCTGAAAGTGCAGGCAGATCGATGACGAACCTTCAAGAAGCCCGGTCCAGTTGTGGGTGTTCTTAGATTTTGCGATTATTGAATGGCCTTGTTTCTTGGAGGAGGTAGACTGGTTTGGTTGCCAGGTTTTTTGTTTCAAGGGAGGATGGACACTTGGCAAGTGGTCCCGGTTCTGGACGTTGAATTACATGTGGGTCAAAAGGGATTCAGCCAGCTGAGCCAGCATGCAAGCCGTGAGAGTGGTTGCTCAAGGAGCACATCTAGTGCCCTAAATATCCCTAAACCATGTAGGCCAAACCCCAGATGGAAGACAATATTTCTTGCAGGTTGCGGCAGCAGTTGGCTTGAAGTTTGCAACCGCAAATGAACGTCAAAGTGGAACTAACTGAATGTCTTCTGGCAGCAAACCGATACAATCATCAAACCCAGGTATTTCTTCCGCCTGTTTGAGAGATTGCTCCCTTGATCTGCCAGGCCCAGCACACCCAGCTGCGTGCGAGGCTGGGAGATGGTGCACTAGGCGGATCTAGTGGGTCGGTACTCTAAATGGTTGAAGAGAGTGACTGGAAAGCATTGACCCAATATAGTAACAAATGCCTTACTAGTAGTAACAAAAAGCTATTAGAAACAAGTGCATCGCTACTAGTAACAAGTGCCTTACTAATAGTAACAAAAAGCTATTACTTTAATTGAATCTTAATTTATATTGTTTCTAAAAGCAAACATTGTTACTACTAGTAAGGCACTTGTTACTAGAAGCGATGCACTTGTTTCTAATAGCTACAGATTCCATTAGATTCCGGAAACATCTCAACTTCTGACACCACTAGCTAGATCTTTATCGTTGAGTTCCTGCGAGGCGAGGGACGGCCTTGGTCGTCACCGGGTTCGAGGACAGGTGGGAGAAGGTGAACCACCAAAGGCTGCCATCATTGGATCACCGTCATCACCTGCCTGGCAGCATGTGCTTGCCGGTCACAAATGGAATGCAGAACCCCCTGCAATCACAATCACGAGCCTTGAGGGTCCCCAGGTAGGAGAGCTCTAGACGGGAATTAAACTGACTCACTGTCCTAAACGTCTCCCACTTGGGGGTCTATTTTTTGGGGTCCAGTAACTCCTTTTGCTGTGCTCTTCCATTTCCACATCACGAAGCCGCTTCTCTTCGAACACACAGGAGCTCTTCCTCCTTCGCTGCACGTCCGGGGGCCTGTCGGTGGATCTGTCGGATGCTGCGAGTGGTGATTCTTTTTCCGACTACCTGGAGTGTTGGGGTTGTTTTGGAGCGTATTCAGTGTATTCGGCTACTAGGTCTGATGTTCTCGGTCTTGGCGCCGCTGTGTTTGTCTTTGTCTTGACAGAGAGAAGCATGGCTGACACACCACGAACTGACCTTTGTTTGGGCCAGTCTGTGTGTGGGGCCGTCTCAAAGACTTGCGCTTGGCTTGCACTTGGATCCCAAGGCAACGAACTCTGGGATCTTCAACGCTCAAGGCGGGGCATTCGAGCAGACCTGGGTGGGTGCCACAAGGAGGATGAACCCTGGCACGAAACGTAGATTTCTGCTCTCCCTGGTTGATAGTGTTGTGTGAACCGTACAGTACAAGTTCTGTTGTTGTTGTTGTTGTTGCTGCTGCTGCTGCTGCTATTGTTGTTCATTCTTCTGTTCACCCAGAGCACTTTACTTTTCACCCACAATGAAGTCTTGAGTTTGAACATTGACCGAAGATTGAGGGACACACTTAGATGGTTGCTCGCCAGAGCTAGGATCAGTATGAAGTCCCACTTTACACGCATTAGACCTTGACTGAAAAAAGCGCAAAAGGAAAGGTGATGGGTCCGCAGATTTGAAGCTGTTTTAACAATGTTTTGCAACTCCTGATAGGCTAGGTGACAGCTTAAAAATTCCAGCGTGGTCAAAAT